TTTGTTTTGATTAAATAAAATTTTTTTGCATTGTTGAAATTTTAATCAATGACTATAATAATAATAAAGTAGCGTTAAATATGAAACCACTTAAAACGCTAAAAGACAAAGAAGAGCTTGACAAAGATTGATTGGATCAAAAGAAATACGGATTTTCCCTTTTTGAAAAAACGAGAAAATAAAAAACTCGAATGACATCAGGTTAATCTCAAATGATGTTGGATAAATTAAGTTAAGTACAATGAAACGAAAACATTTATACAGCATATTAGTATAACATACTCTGCCTTTTTGCTACTAGCATTTTCTCAAAAAAAATTTTCAGGCTTATCAGATTGCCAAATTCCTTTAACAGTTATTATTATTATTAATATAGTTACAATAATTACAATAATATAACAATAATTAAAAAATTACCAAAATTACCAATGATCTGCATAGTTGTAAAAAAAAAACTTTTAAATTAGAGGAAGGGAAGCTGTTCGAGAAATCTGTTCCGGATAATATCCGGTTGTCTTATTATTGTTGTTGTTGTTGTTATTTAGTCAAATGATACCCAACCGGATTTGATTTTATTATTTTTTTCCGGTTTAAATCACACGATTTACAGATCATTGCTTATTGTGATTAATTAAATATTCAAAAAAGTTGTTTAATAGGCGTTGATGGATAATACAAAATCGTGATCCAATTTAACATCTTCGAGGCTTATTATTCATGCAGTTTTCTCACTCGGGGAAGGGTAGAAATAGAAGATACACGATATTTTTGGATCATCGTATAATGCATGGGGGGTCATTTAGCTACGTAGATGACAACCATGACAACTGGTCGATTCATATATATAAGATAGAGCACGATGACTATCCCAATATCAGCATGTATGTGAACACATTTGTGTTTATTTGTATAGGAAGCCAAGGCTAACGGTTGGTGCAACACGGAAACCAATTATGAGTTCAAGAGTTTAAAAACAAATTACACATTGTTTATTTATTTATGATTTTTAGAAAATTAATTATTCTTTTTTTTTTAAAAAAACCCCAACAAATATTTACGCGTTCTTAATTCTTTTATTAATTGGATTTATTTACCTTTTAATATTGTTAGCATTTAAGGTTAATAAGTGATGTTAAAATGGTAAAATGCAAAATAATAAATTAGACACGAAATCTCCCTCATCCTCATCCTTCATCCTCGTCCTCATTATCATTCTCGTCCTCGTCCTCATCCCTAATCACACGCTCTTTCTCCTATTCATCCATTCAAAGGCTATCTGCAAACTCTAAAAAGAGTGTATTAAACCAAAAATCGTAGAACACATATCTGGTGTATATATATGCAGCATGCATTTTTCGATCGTTGAATCATGTGAACTTTAATAAAACTTTAAAACCATTTAGACTTTTAAATGGAAATTTGTGGTACATTATATTTATCCAAATAAATAGTCAATAAAGAGCAAATGTGTGGGTGTGAGTGAGAACGGGTGGGCAAAAGAGGAAAATATTTAATGATAGCATGTAATAAATAATAATAAATGGCAAAAATTTAAGATATGATATAACTACCAATGTTCATCAATTATACACACATGCAAATGTTATAATAATATATTCTCTCTCTCTCTCACTCACACTCCCTCTATAATACACTCCGCATTATCATCATCGTAAATGAAACCTTTTACAATATGGCGCTGTTTTAAAATACGCCCAAAAAAAAAAAAAAATTACATGGATATGAAAAAAATATAAAAAGATTTATCCTCAACTGTAACAAAACAAAATAATATTAACTTTATTTTTTGGTTGTCCGTCTCGCCCATTATTATTTAAACTCTTGACTAATTAACCAAAATCTAAAATCATTAAATAGGCGAAACATTTCTAAAACTAATAAAACTTTAATAATTACTTGGCTTATAATATATACTATAATAACCTGCATGAAAGATTTTTTATTGTATTAATATGGAAAGTTGTTGTGTTTTGTGTTAACGGAATTAACGATTTAAAGTAAAAAATTTCGAAAAAGGATTTTTCTGTTATAAACAAATATAATAATATAAATAAATAATAACAATAACTATTATTGTGCAAACAAAAAATTTTACACAAGAATTTTTTTCTTTGAAATCTTTTTTCCATGATCTTTTTTCCGGACGCTTTTTTTGAAAAAAGAACCTTGTTTGTAAGAAATATTACACACACTCACACTCACACTATATAAAACTCAAATCCCGGAATTTTTTACTTATATACCTAAATCTGGATACAATTCAAACTAAAACCTTTTTGACAAACATAATAATAATAATAATAATAATAATTATAATTATAATTAAAAACGGAGAGCGGAAAGACAAAAAAAGGGAATGCGGGGTTGAAAAGAAAAGGCCGATCATAACGACACAATGAATTTTTTGAATTCAGAAACACATACAATGGATTTTTGAAGAGTGTTCTTGTTTAGTTTAAAAAATGTGTTGATGAATGGACTCTCTCGGTTATTTAATTAATTACTAATTAGTTAATTATTAATAGTAATAATATCATTAATTACTATAATTGCTACTACGATAAGACTTGATAGCATTTAGTGTTAAAAGTGTAAAACAATCTAATTTGATCGTGAAAAAAAAAATTTTTTTGTTTAAAATTAAAAAATTTACATATATTAATAATATTAATAATGGGAATGAATGAATATTAATGGGAATGATGGGAATATTTATTTTTGTTAAAATAAAATGACGATTATTATTTGTTTGTAAAAATTCTCTCGGTTATTGATAATTTGGATATTACCAATCAGTTGTTATGGAGTACGTGTCTCTATCACTCATTCCCACTCACTCTCACACTCCAACCAAACTAGACCAATCCAAACCAATTCAATTCCCAATTCAATTCCCAATTCAATCCAAAAAATGACAACGGCTTTTTCTTTTTTTATTCATCCTAATATGAATTTCTCGCCTATTTCTAAATTTTGCATTCTCCCTATCTATAGGCAATCAATATCCTAAGACTATTAGAAATTGCCATACAAAGCATTTTTCAATTGTTTTTTTTTTTAAATTAATTAATTTACTAATTAATTCCTTCTTCTTCTTCTTTTTGCTTTATTCATTAATTTTTTTTATTTACTATTTCCATATTGCTTTGCTGGTTGTTTATTTTTCCTATCCCATTCATTCGATTGTGTTATTCTCTATTACAATTTCCTCCATTAAGTAAACTCCGTATTGAGCCCATATTATTGCATCACTTCCTAATTTGGTAGATAAAAAATAAAATTTGAAAACGTATTACATATTCCACATACGCACACACACACACACACACACACACACACACACACACACATATTTAATCATCGTAGTAATAAACATCTCCGCAATCATCACAATCAATTCCCTTCGTCTATTTTACATACTTTATATTATTAATTCAGTGTGGTTGTGGTGGTGATGATCATCTTTGCAGTTATTATACTATTATTATTATCACTAATATTACTGAATTGTTATAATTAGTTATTCATTATGAGAAAAAGAACAAATCGATGGAATAAAGAGGCAGGGATGGGGGAAAAAGAAAGAATATTGGTAATGATAATTATGGTTATTTGTGGTATGATTTTAATAGTAATTACGATTATGGTCATCTGTCAATAGTTATTATTAAACATACCAAAATGATCATGCGATTGTAATCATAACTGTTAATTAATTGACTGTCACCTTTTTTTTTTTTTTTTTTTTCTAGTTTTTCCTAAATGGAACAAAATATTAGGCAATCAGTTTTGAAAAAAGTATCCTATTAATTTGTTTGTCATTTACATATATGGTAGATAAATAATTGAAATTTTTTTTAAAGTAATGTTACACTAACACTCAAACACACACACAAAATTTCGAATGTTTCTTGCTTTGAATACAATTTTTTTATGATTTCACATGATTTAATTAAAAATATTAGATATCAATCAACATCAAGTATATTGTTGTTCTCATTTAACCAACAAAATAAATCATCATCCACCACTCACTCACCCTCTCTCTCGCTCGCTCAACTAATCAATCGCTTATTAATTATGAATCATTATTAGAGTGTAAAATTAAACTGTCAAATGTTTAATTAGTGATTAATTAAATTAATTAACCACGAATTAATTAATTAATTAATTAACGAACACACCACTAATTAATTAAAATACATAGCCTAATTAATCAATAATAGTAATTAGCATTAATATAATAATTTTGTTTTTGTAACAAATACACTACTATTAATAATTTTTGTGAATTAAGTAAAAATATAAAGGTTTTAATTAATTAATTTAATTTCTAATCAAATCACCTTGCTATTTAATAACGGCGGTAACAAGCAGCGTCATGATCCGAGCATTAACGCTGTGTTTTTGTTTTTATTTTACCAAGATGATAAAAATGGTAATTTTTTATTATTTTTTTTTTTTTTTTGAATTAATAAAATTAATAAAATTAATAATAAGTTGGTGTAACATTGCTTAATATATTTATTTATTGTACTATTTTATTATGACATTTTAGCATAAAATTGAAATTGATTGTTATAGATTCTAATACAGTATAGCGGTTTAAAGCTCTTTGTTTCTTCTTCTTTATTCTCCCAACACAATCTAAAGAATGAATGGTGGGTGGATCAATTGGTTTTTTATTCTATTATTCTATCTATACATATCATATCGAATCATTCGTACATATATATATACTCCGTATACATAAATGTCAATCAAAGAGCAAAAGAAAAGGCACACTCACTCTCTCGGAAGTTTGGCACATTCATGCGGACAATCTTTTTTTATAAAAAATCTTATTAAACCAATAAATTTCCTGTTAAATTATAGAAATTTTAGAATTCCTGAATAACATGACCAAATAATAAAGTATCATGACAACAATAATAATAATCGAAATTTGATTGATTTATTGATTGATTGATTGATTCCGAATGTTTTGTTTGTTTTCGTTGATGGTCGGTTGATTGATTGATTGGTTTAAGAAATTTATTAATTTTAATTAAATCATTAATTATCGCAAAGAAATTATTTAATTGCTATTTAATTAATTGATTAATTGGGCGCGGCGGCGATGTTGGTGTTGTTGGTGTTTGTGGAGAGGAGAAAGAAGCATGCAAATTCTGGCAAATTTAATAAAAATGGTTTAAGAGAAAAATTATAAATTATAAAATGTATGATTAAATCATTTTTACATTCACTTAAGTTGTTTTGTTATTCTATTATTTTGATTATTTTATTTTAAACTTGTGAAAAAACACGTGGAAATTTTACTATTTTTCTTCTTGTAATAATAATATTAAATTATTTCTAAATATACAAATTGATTTCCTAAATAAAGTTAACAATTAATATTCTCTCAAAATAACAAAGTTCCCTCGATAATAAATCGGTATTTACCTTTGCACTAAAAAATAAATGTCATGGATCATATTACTAAGCATTATTTCCTTTTGACCTTTGCAAGTAACTAACAAGTTTCTAATAATTCCTAATTATTATTGTGATTTACAAAATTAGGAATTGAATAGTTTTTTTTTTTTTTTTTTTGTGTTTAAAACGGAATTATAACACAACGAAATATCATTGGAATGACAACGAAAAATCTAAAACTAAAGGAAAATTTTCTGTCCCAAACCAAATAAAACATTATTATTTATTACTAAATATATAAAATAATTTTAATATTATTATTATTATGGTTTTCTATTTAATTAGTAATTGGGTAACAATGTTTTTTCTTCAAATAATAAATTTTTTAAAGAATCAATTAATTTGTAAATTATTATTATTTATTATTAGTATTATTTATTTTATTATCATTATAATTTATCATATTATAAACATTCATACAATAAATTATATTTCCCAATAAAATTGTTACCTCCTGATATTATTTTTTTATTATAAAATTTGACTGTTACACAAGCAAGCCAATAAATTAATTTCACTATTCTATAGTATAAGCTGCTTGCTGTCTTTTTTATATTACTATTGTAAATAAAAAAGTTTATTTTAAAACTATTTTAATTTATACACGAGTAAATTAAAAAAAAATAATATAAAGGGAACAAATATTTTAACTTTCAGTTTTTTTCTTTCAATTTTTTTTTTAAAAATTTAGTCTAAAAAAACTATTATAATAACAATATAAATAACTAACATAACACACATATATAAATAAATCTATAAGAACTATTATAAAACATATATATAAAAAAATAATCTATAAGAATTATTTTTATCATTTATATATATATATATATATATATATACGAAAAAAATCAAAAAAAAACTCTCGAAATAAAAAGCATCATTTTTTGATCCAAAAAAAAAAAAAAAAAGAAAATGTCAAATATTTTGCTTAAAAATTTGGTTGACGGTCCCATTACACCTCAGATGATTGGTAAATATTTCTTTTTCCTTTTTGCTATTTGATCTTCAATTCAAAATCCAAATCAAATCATAAATTAATAATTATCTTTTAAAAATATATTTTATAGTGTATGTAACTCAAAAAGCAACTTCGGTTATTCCTTGCGATTCAATGCTTTCTTTATCGTCGTCGTCGTCATCGTCAACACTTTCAAATTCAAATTCTAATCATAAATCTAACAATAAGAATAATAATAACAATAAGAAGAACAACAACAATAAGAAGAACAACAACAATAAGAATTTAAATCAATCATCTTCAGCTTCATCTTTATCAATAAACACCGATAACAATCATGTTCATCATATTCATCATGATGAAGACCTTCAACTTTTACCACCCTTACAAAATTTCATACAACGTCTAGTAACAAGATCAAGCGTTTCAACTGCTACCTTTTTAACCACTATAATTTATCTGGATCGTTTAAAAAAGAAATTGCCTAAACTCGCTAGAGGTAAAATTTCTTATCCCTCGCTATTTTTGTGATTGTTCACGTGATTTAGTTAAAAGTTATCTGCATCACGTGTTATTTATGTGGCTGTGCTAATCTATTTATTTTTATTTTTTTATAGGCATGCATTGCACTCGTCATCGAGTATTTTTAGCTATTTTAATAGTTGCATCGTATGTTTCTATTTTTATTTTCATTTATCTTTTAGAAAAAAAAAAAAAAAAAAAAAAGGTTATTTACTAATTAAATTTTCTCTTCTTTTTTAAATATAGAAAATATTTAAATGATTCATCTCCAAGAAATAAATATTGGGCAAGGTTCTCAAGTGTCTATTCCGTCAATAAAGTTAATTTAATGGAGAGACAATTGCTTACTTTGTTAGACTATGATCTTAGAGTAACAGAGGCTGAGTTATTATTACACTTGAGTCCATTCTTGAAATCGCCTTCTCTCTCAACATCATATAATAATAACAGTACCGGTAATACGCTGATAAATACACTAAAATTACCTTATCCAATTAATGGTAATCTTAACAATAACAATAATTTGGATAATCTTGATAATCATACTATTAATAACAGTAATGAATACATTCAAAGAGCTCGCTCCTATCCTCAAATATCTATACCAAAATCTTTGCCACTTTCCATGTATGATAATGACAATAATATGAACACAATTAATAATAATAATAATAATAATAATAATAATAACAACAATGTATTTTCATCTCCATCATCGTATCAACCTTTAATTATTGATAATAACAACAATTATAATTATAATGATGACAATGATGATGCAATGAACACTGATGAAGATGATGAATTTTTACCAAACACCAACAATGTCAACACCGTTATTAACGATAATTCATTTTCAAATTTCTCTCAAAATATTGATCAACATCAAACAAAAGATCAATTTGGCAGAAGACTTTCCTCAACTTCTACATGTTCATCATCCTCCACCTCTTCCATAACAACTCCTACATCTGTTCCAACAGCGTTTCAAAATAATAGTAATAATTTACTTTTACAACAACAATTAAATAATTTACAATTATTACAATTACAATTAAATTTGTTTAATAAACAACCTGACATTCCTTCAATTCCTTCAATAATCACACCAACTTCAACTAGTTATCTCCAATCCCAACATCAATTAAATCAAAATTCACATAGCCATCATCATCATCATTATCAACAACAATCTTCGTTCCAACCACCACCATTAAAATCTCTTTTATCTGACGCTGGCGCGGATAATTATTTTGGTTCCTCTGATTTTAATAATAATAATCACAACCAAATTCATCACGGTCATTACAATTACAACCTTCCCATTTTAAATGTTAATAATCACAATAACAATAATAATTTTCATCAACATTACAATCATATAATTTTACCAAATCCTGTTAACACCACCACCACTACAAATGTCTCTTACATGGAATAACACTCTCATATCAATAATAATTAATTTCTCTAAAAAAAAAAAAAAAAAAAAAAAAGGACAATTTTTAAAACCAAAAAAAAAAGCACTTTTTTTTCTTTTGTACATTACTTCTTTTTTTCTTTAGAATTTTATTTAATTTTTTATTTAGATTTTGCTTTTTAGTTTAAAAATTATATATAATAATATATATAATATAAAATCATTTATTATTATTATCATCATTATTATTATATATTAATATGTAAATAATAATTATTTTTTTCTTATACATATATATTTTTTCTTCTTTTTAGCATCAAAGATTTATAAAAAAAAACATTCATTAATTAAAAACAATCCATTTTGAAATCATTAAAATAAAAAATATCAATAAATTAAAAAAAAAAAAGAGTTTGGTTTAAATTAAATTTCTCGGTGAAAAAAATCGGTTATGTAAATCCTGTCACGTGAAGATAATAATATTACTATATTAATATACAATTCATTCTGCAACGAATGGCGGATCTTCTTCAATAACGGACCTTGCGAATTTAGGCCCCAATTTTATCAATATTTATTATGTACTATTTATTCAGTTACGGATTCTCTCTGTAACGGGCATTGCGAACTGTATATATACAAATTTGTTAATAATCTACATATAATTCCCAGGTTTAGTTAGCACACACCCGTTGTACCCACCACGGGCATGAAGTCATGTAAATCTTTCTAAAAATGTTAAAAATTCGTATATACCAATTGGGCTTTTCTATAATTAATATTAACATAAATCTTAAATTTTAACCCATTTTGGAAATCGCTAAATATTCTTGTATTTGTGAAGGCATCGACTCGGCTTGCCGAAAGTAACCTATTTATCATTTTATAATGGTACTTACTGTAATAGAAGACTCTCCCAAAAGAAAAAAAAACCTGGGACCTAGAAAGCTTCGTGTCCTGAATGTTGTACATGAACAAATTAAGCTTGATCAATTATTTAAGAGTACAAATACGATCGATTTATTGGCTTTACTAATAATAATAATTGTAATTAATTAAATTTTAAGCATGTAATTTATATGGTGTACAACGTATATAAATTAGTTATTAAGTCTCCTGATTCATGGTAACATTTTGTTGTCTTCTAACTCTCTCTTACTCTCTCTCTCTCTCTAAGTTCACTTTATTGTTTAATAAAGAATATTATTTCTTTTTTTTGTTAAACTGTAAACATTTATTATTAGTATAATGTTATTATATATTATATATTGGTAAGAAAATTTTTATGCATCTATTGGGTCAATTGTTCCTACAATTAAGCTAATAAACAAATTTATTTTTAAAAATTAGTGTAACATTAAATTTGTCTGGGCGGCTTCATTTAGAAATAGATGCGAGTTTTTTGTTAATTTGGAATATGTGTGTAACATTGTGCATAGTTTTTATACATCAGAAAAAAAAATCGGATTTTTTAATTTTTTCAAATTTCTCTTTTTTCGATTCTATTTTTTCAGGCAAGGCAGACGTAATAAAGGTTCGTTTGTATTGATTAACTATTCTTTTTTTTTTCAATTTAATAATATAACATGAAAATTTAATTAATTAATGTATTAATTTATTATTTCTGGTTTTTTTTTTTTTTTTTAGTCACATTCCTTCCTCTCCTAATCCCTTTCCTCTTCTACTTTTTTAAATAAAAAGTAGAATAAACCATTTTATTTATAAAATCATTAATTATTTTCCTGGTGAAAAACACTCAATTCATTTAACCATACATTACATACAAAAAAAAAATGTCTTATCCGACGCCACCTTACCAAAAAAATTATCCAACGGATATTAATAATAATAACATTCCTAATAATAATAATAACTTTCCCAATAACGTTCCTCCTCATCATGGAATATTAAGGAGAGAACATATAGAATATGATGATCGCAATAATCATCATAACAACAACAACAATAATAATTATAGTGATGATTATAATAATCACAACCATCCTTCAATAAATCACCAGTTGCAAACTAATCATATCAATGAAAAAAACGATCATTCCAATATTGGCCATGATCCAGAGGACGCTTCACGGGATATTCATATTCATACACCAAATATACTAAAAAAACCAAAGATTGTATCAAAAGACCCTGTGAAATGGTACAGGAACACACGAGAAATCTTACTTGCTGTTAAATCCAATTTTCTTTTAATATTCTTACCTCCTGCTATCATAATGAAAAGATTTGATGTAAATGACAATATATTGCTTTTCTTTAATTTCTTGGCTATCATTCCATTATCAAAAATTATGACAACCGGCATTGATGATCTTTCAGCCAGATTTCATCCTGTAAGTAATCAATCCTGATCTATTTGTTTCAGTATTTCTTTGTCTATTCTCTGATTGATTTGATTGATTTGATTGATTCCTTTTTTTTTTTTTTTTTAAAGTCATATGGTGCAATTCTTCATGCGTTTGCCGGAAATTTTGTCGAATTGGTGATTTCATGCTATGCATTATTGGATAAACAATATTCAATTGTTCGTTCTTCTGTACTTGGTGCAATTTTATGTAACATATTATTGGTAAGTGGATTTAATATACACACATTAAACCTATTCATATACGCACATTCATTCATTCATTATACACACATTCATTCATTCATTCATTATTCATTCATTATTCATTCATTCATTCATTCATTCATTCATTCATTCATTCATTCATTCATTCGTTCGTTCATTCGTTCATTCATTGTAATACTAATTATTTACAAATTTGCTGCTTCAATAAAACAAAAGGTTCTTGGTGTTGTATTTTTGGCAGGATCTTGGCCAAGAAAAAAGTCCAAGAGAGAGTCTATGAATGCTCATTTAAGCACACAACTTTTTGTATCCACTAGTGCATCTACCTTGGCTCTTGCTGTTCTTGCACTTGTCACTCCTGCCGCATTCAAAATTGCTGCTCCTGTGGGCACGGGCATTGAATGTGATTTACAGAATATTAGTCATGCTATTGCTATCATTTTATTATTTGTCTATGCTGCTCTTTTAATATTTCAATTGAAAACTCATGTTACGTCTGTAAGTATATATATATTTATATGCGTGTGTTTGTATTTGTTTATTTCAGTTATTAATTTTATTAATTTTGGGGGATTTTTTGAAAATATACTAGACCATTTCTATGGATGAAGTTCACTACAGAGAAGCAAAATATTTCCTTCTCTTTGACGTTTTCTTGTAAATACGATTTTTTTTAAATTATGTAAAATTACATAGATATGTTTGTATTTATATTTATATATTTTATATATTTATTATTTCCAGAATTGTCAGCTCTATAACTGGTATTGTTGTATGTGCAAGATACCTAGTGACAAGTATTGAACACATGGCTCATAGTTTTCGACTTGGAAATGGATTTATCGGAATGGTTCTTTTACCTTTGTGTGGTATTTATCATTCTTTCACACACATATATTCTCCCTTCAACTAATAATGATTATGATGATAATTTATTAACTTATTTAATAATTATAATAGTTGTTTCTAATTTCATGGAACATTATGATGCTATTAAAGAAGCTTCTGAAGATAAAATTGATACTGCCGTCGGTTTAATTCTTAATACATCTGTGGTAATTATTCATCATAATATTAGTCATTATCATTATTATGATTGTCTTAAAATATAACAATAACGTTATTATTATTATTATTATTATTATTATTACCAATAATATTATAGCAAATCGCTCTTTTGGTTGCTCCTGTTCTTGTGCTTTTTGGTTGGATTACATCAAGACCTTTGACATTGGATTTTAATACTCTTGAAATTTGTGTACTTGCGTGCGCTGTTCTAATTGTCAATTATTTAGTAGCTGTATGTAAAACAATCACTAATATCCATATTTGATTTACTTGTAAGTTTATCATTATTTAATTAATGATTTTTTTTTTTCCTTTTAAAAATTATCTAGGATGGTAAAGCAAATTGGTTAGAAGGATACATGTTGATTGTAAGTAAAACACAAAAAATTAAATATAAAATTTCAAGAAAAAGAAAATTTTCAACAAATCTGATTATTGATTAATTGTTCTTCCATTTTTTAGGTTTCTTATGTTATCATTGCTGTTGCTTTCTTTTATTTCCCAAATATACCAGAACTCAAAGAAGCTGATATATTGAAATGTAATCCATTCAGCAGAAATTTACCTCCAGATGATTTTGGTTTAAGTACAGGTAGTGGTGGTGGTGGTGATGGTCATTAAAATTTTAAATCGTAATCATAATTCCTCCTCATTCCTCATCTCGCGTCTTGCCTTTTTTATTTTTCCTCTTTTCCCATTTATTCTTTCCCGTTTAATTTTTTGGGCACGATAAATTTAGCTGATGGAAATAAAACAAATAGATAAACACATTATAGATGCCTTCTTTTTTTTTTGTCAAAAAATAAAAAAGCTAAACCTATAAAGTTTATAATAATATATAGTTCAAAGTTTATAAATAAAAATGTATAAAAGTTAAAACTCAAAAGTTTATCCAAAAACTATGATAAAAATAAATCTTGTTTCGAGAATAAATAATTCTTTTTTTTTCTGTAAAAACAATAATCATGGAAAATAACGCTAGCTCTAATAATATTAACGCCAATACTAATAATAAAAACATCAAAGGATCAAAAACGCAACAATCACAAAAGGCTGGTTGTAAGAATAATCGGAAAAAAGTTTTAAATAATGAAAAAACTCCAAAGAGACCTCTCAACGCATTTTTTATATTTGTTAGTGAGAAAAGGTACATGTAAAAAAATCTTTGTTTACATTATATTTATATTTATGACTTTGGCTCTATTTATTTATGTTGCTATATAATTTTAGACCCGAATATATAGAAAAATATCCTAATTATACTGCAATCAAACGTGCTTCTATTATTAGAAAATTGTGGAGTTCCATGTCCAAAAAAGAAAAAGAGGTTTATATGATATATATATATAGATCCTTCGATATAATAATTAGACGCGTTGTATTTTCGATTTTTTTTTTTTTACATTAATACATTAACGTTTACGCTATTGTTATATATAGCCTTATTTTAATATTTCAAAGAAAAAAATGGAAGAATGGAAAAAAACCATGCAGGAATATAATAATAATAATAAATCAGTAAAGTATTAAATAAAATATATTTATATATATTAATTATATTTGAAATAAATTTTTATACAATATCTTTCATTATAGAATCATGATAATGTTAAAAATCAAACGAGTAACGTTGGTGGTGTAGAAGATGACGGTGACGAAAACGACGACGACGACGACGACGACGACGACGACGATAAAAAAGATTCAGAACCTCCTAACTTTATAACCAATACAGTTTCGAATATAGAGACAATAAGTTTTCAATCTTTGCTTGATTCATTGAACGCTGTTAATACGATTAGCGCAAACGAAATTCAACCATCACCATCACCACCATTATTATTATCATCGTCGTCGTCATCTTCAAATACCAATGATACAAATAATGATAATAGCGTTTTGAGTTGTCGATTTTCAAACAATGACAACAACAGATCTATAACAAATAATTGCTGTTGTTGTAGCATCATGAATTCGTCCATAAACACTCAAAATTATGACAACGTAAATTCAAAACAGGAATATGTTAATTCAAATACATATAACATCAATCAAAATTCTACTACTACTTCTTCTTCTTCAATTGCTTTTCAACAACCACAAGAAAGGGTACCGAGAATTCATAATAATATACAAGATTTTAATATCTCAATGCCTAATAATAATAACGACAACAATAGCAACAATTGTAATGCTTGTGGTAATATACTAACTCAAAATATGCTAAACTTTCAGTCTTACCAGTCGCAACAGTCATCATTACTAATACCTCAACAAAATGACTTTAGTAGCAAAAGCAACAATAACATACAACAATTTCAAAATCAACAACAACAACAACAACAACAACAACAACAACAGGCTCTTCAAAATAATCAACGAGAAACTTATTGTTTCCAACAAATGTCATTTCCACAACAACAACGTCACGATAATCAATTTTATTCTCATGATAATAATAACGTAACTGTAAAAATGGAATCAGTAGATAATTTTGAACCAATTGCGTTTTTTGAATCAGAGCCGAGAATTTTACAAATGCCACAGACTTCCATTCCTATTACTACAATAGGAACATTTTACCCCCCACAGATTAACTCTTTCCCACAACAACAACAACAACAAACATGGAAATCCATCCCAACATCATCACCGTTATCATTACAATACCAACTACAATTAGAACATATGATATTACAAACAATGAATTATCCACAAAAACCACAAAAATGGCAAAATATCCCACAAAGAAATCTTTTTCTTCCTAAACAACAATGGAGCCAACAACAACAATCAACACCTAATATTCTCACGAATTCACATTTGCATAATTCTCTTCTAAATAATAATAACAATGATAATAATATCTATAAATTACCTTCAAACATATTTTCACAACAGCCAATTTACCTTCACCAGAATCCCTGGAATCTTGAACAACAAATTAATCCACAATAAAACGGTTACAATACAATTCATAATCAACCTTATAATTAATTATTAATAGATTTGATTATTTGATTATTTATTTTTAATTAAAAATAAAATAAAATGTACTTTTTATTTCTCTATATAAAAGCTTAATTTATTGCAATAATAATTATAATATTACACACACTAATTAATAAAAAAATTTAATTATTTAAATTTTAATTATCGTCAATATTGGTTATTACTATTTTCATTGTGTTTACTATTATTGCTGCTGCTGCTGCTACTGCTACTACTATTATTATTATCGTCGTCGATGCTATTATTATAAATATCATGATTAACGTCAATATTTTCGCTATTATCGTTAGGTTTGTTTGGTGAAATTCGTTGTGGGGCACCTGGTCGTTGATACCCATGTTGTTTAAGGAATAAACCACATCGATTGCCTATATATAAATATATATATAAAAGTAATTAATAATTAACATAAGAATATGATATAGAATAAACACAAACAATAATCTAATGATGATAACCTACAAAGTTTACTGCCTTCTGACCCTCTCCAACAAGGAGTTTCTTGCGTGCCACAATTTTGACAACTTGGTGGTCCTGTCCCTGCCTTTTCCGGTTTAATTAAACGAATTTCTCCATCAGTATCAACTTCTGTAGGACGCTGTCTCCCCTTAACTTTAAGACTAGCAAAATACAAACATAAATATATTTATATTCACCTATACATGTGTGTATATAAATAAAAATAAAAATAACATATATATTTAAATATACTAACTATAAGCCACATGCATTACAAAGTAAAGCTTCTCCTTGTAAATCTCGTCTCCAAGCTGGTGTTTCCCTTGCACCGCAATTTGAACATCGATAAATCTCGCCAGCTTTGATGATTTTGCCAGAATTAGTTCGAGGAGATGCTATGGTTGCTCTTGATCTTCTTCTTCGTCGTCTTCTTGACTGAAAAGAATGAGTGTTTATTGAATTGGTATCAGATGAAATTGAACGTCTTGTTGTCGATGCATTATGATTGTTGTTGTTGACGTTAGCATTGCTATTACCATTGCCATTACCACTGCTATTGATAATGTTATTACAATGACTACATCCAATATTTGAGGTAATCTGTTCTTCATGATGTTGATTTAAAATTATCAAATTTCCTCCATTCATAATTTTGTGATTTTCCGCTGAAAAGGTTTTTGTATTTTTGTTATTACTATTATTATTGCTACTACTGCTAATAATATTATTACCGCTATTATCACTTGTAGTATTGTTATCATTATTACTATCATCATCATTATTAGAATTATTGTTACTACAGGTAATAATATTTTCATTACTTGATAATGGATTTGATTTATTTGAATATAATACAGATGTTGGACTGTGGTTTACTCGATGAGGTGATGATGACGACGATGATAATGACGACGGTTGTGAATAGAAACAACTATTGGGTAAAGCAAAATAATATTGAAGAGGAAAAGATAATCCATTATTGAATGAAGAGGGTCCTGTCGGTAAATTAGGAGAGGTTGGTTGACTATGGCCATGTTGGTGATTGCGATGAGGGAATTGATGATAATGGTGGTGATAGTGTTGTTGAGAAATGTAAAGACATTGTAGGCATAACGATGATTCAAATTCCAATTTTGATTGATTGAGACCTGATAACGTGGTATTATTATTATTATTATTATTATTATTATTGGTTTCTTGTGATGTTATAGTATGATTAATGTGCGAAGAATTTGAATTGGTGTCCAAAATATTTGTAAGATTACATTTAATGCTGCTGCTATTACTGCTATTATTAGAAAAAGGAGAAGAATTGATCATAATTTCGTCGGTAGGCTTATTTTGTGTATTATCGTCAGATTTCGTTGGTGATTTATCTGATGCATGATCGGTTATTTTGGTGAAATTTTTCTCTTTTGGCTTTAATAAACCATTATTATTAAGTTTGATGAATTCTTCGTCAAGTTGATTTTGTTGTTGCAAAGGTGATAAAGTATTGATTGGTGATTGTGTGCAAGTAGTGGTGGTGGTAGGATATGAACTTTGTATAATATTACAAATATTGAGAAGGGATAATGAATTATCAGATTTATTTTTTGATGATGTCGACGGTGACGGTGACGATGTCAATAGTGATAAAACTTTTCCGCTCTTTTTAATAGAGTCTGGAATTTCTTTTGTTTCGTCCTTGTCGATTTGTCTCTCCTCGCAACTTTCAATTATTGGATTTTTCTCTTGCGCTGTTTGTTCAATATTTTCAGACATTATTAATAATAAACGTGTATTTGTAAAAAAATAGACTCTTTGAGCATATTAATTTAAGAGACGCGTAAATTTGTGTTGATTTTTTAAAAAAAAGGAAATAAGAAAAAAACAAGTTATATATAAACAATTTACTATTATAATGAATATTATTTAATTAAAAAAGGAAAACTTTATTTAGTTATTTAGAGAATGAAAAAAAATTTTTTTTTTTGATAAATAGAACAACTTAGTTCATATATATTTTCAAATATTAATGTATAATAAATAAACGATCATTGGGGGAAAAAAACCTTATTTTATCACTCTAAAAATTGATTTTGTCGTTTTTTTTTTACTGATTTTGATGCTTTAGGTGATCAAAAGAAATCAATATTTTTTTACTTTAATAATTTAGTTCTTTGAAAATTTTCGTGAGAGGAAAATAATATGTAAACTAATAAATATATATACGTAAAATATAAATAAAAAAAAAATGTAATGATTAATACTTAATTTATAAAAACTACTATATTTATATTGAAAAAAATAAGAGTCAAATATAAAACCTTTTAGTAATCACATATTAAAAGAATAATGATGCTCCCTCCTGATTTATAATCTCATCAACCATCACACACATCGTAACATATAATAAACTGTCCAATAAATATTTTCATTAGATATTATTTTAAGGTCGGAGAAAGGGGGTTGGTTATAAGTGATTGATTACAGGTCTCACTCATTAGATGACACGAAATTTAAATCAAATCAATTGATTAAAAAAAAGGTACCAAAGGATGAAACAACGGCCCAATTTGAACACGCCAAATCATCGGTGTACGAAGAAAAGAAGGATATCGAAAAGGTGTTGGAAGTAGAGCGAAAAGCCAAAGAAAATGCCGAGAAAGCGAGAAGGCAACTTGAAAGTCGGATGGAAGAACTCATGGCCAAGAAAAGCAAGTTCATGTGCTTTTAAGACTGTTGTGTTGAATGTCAACTCTCATTATAACGAAATTCCCCTTTCAACACCTCACAATCACCATTTGTTCTTTATGTGAATCCGTGTGTGGGTATTCGAGATTAATTCATGACCAAAACAAAAATTTTCTTTTCATTTCGTCCTTAAAATTCATTACCTAAAATTTTTAAATATTAAAAAAAAAAAACATGTATATATATATATTATTATAATTATTTTCAAAATTCCAAAACTCTTTTTAAATCATTCGCATTTTTCTTTTTTATCAACCTTCTAAATTCGTTATACGGAGAGTTGACTGATTTGTAATTTATTATATATAGTTTTATACATGTATGTATACTTATTTGTAATTTTTTTTAAAAAAAAATTTTTAAATAGAATCTTTTCTTCGCCCACTTATAAAACCATTCATCAATCGGAACAAACACTCTGTCAGGACTGAGGTCACCACAAGCGCCATTACCGAGGAGGAAGATCATGTGTTATAAATACCTCTGGATTGCTTTTGGGACAACATATTGTATTATATACATGTTATATATCTGTATAATTATTTATATATTTTATAAATATATACATCATTTAAAAGAAACCAGCCAACCAACCAACCAGCCAACAACATCCCATGGATGCTCTTTGTATAGATAGAATTTGGATAATTATATTTATTTATTTATTTATTTTTATATATAGAAACTAAAATTTATAAAATCATAAAAAAATTGTAAATTAAAGCTAATTGTATTTTTAATAATAGACTTATTTGCCGTTTGTTGTATTAAAAAGACTTTTTTTAACAAATAGATATATTAATCATTGTGTGTTATTATTATTATTATTATTATTATATGGGCATGCTGTAACAAAACCAGACAAAGTGAACATTTGTATTACTAAGAATTTCAGGGATCAAAATTTAGAGTAATTGGTAATAATATTAATATTAATATTAATGTGTATATCCTTACACCCTACAATCATTTAACATTTCAACTAACAAATAGTAAGAATACTTTATTTACAAAATTTCGAAGGAAAAAAGCATGTCATAGTTATGTGGTATTAAAATTGCAATTTTAGCATATAACATATATATATCATCTTACCAACCTTAGAGATTTCAATTTTGCGTTCATACTTTTTTCTCACAACTGATGCTCGGAAAGAATTAACAGCTGGTGAATTTTTTTCAGCCTAATAATGATATAAAATCGTTACATACATCACATAAAGTCAATCTAACAAATTTGTATAAAATACATAAAATATCTGATGTGGATGGACTATGACAAGGCACGTAGCCCGCAACTCTAATAGTACGTAACCATCGGTTGTGTCATGGCAATAGCACGTAGCCTATCCAAGGACACTCAAAGGAGGACGTACCCCACAGTCACCATCCTAATGCGTAATCAGTTGGCTATTCAAGTTTCTTCAACACCGACAGAACATATCATGTGCATGTGTTATATTCCTTGGACCCATACACATCAGGAATCTTACCTTGAGATTATCAATACACTTTTTAGCTTTGGCTCGTTGTTTTGTATTGTAGTAATTAACGATCTAATCAAGGTTCTTACGATAGGATAAATGTTCATTATTTCTGTTAGCTAAGAAGTCTTCACAATTCACTATATATCTCAAGTAACCAATCAAGGTCCAACTTTCATTTTCTTTAAAGCATTCGTTAGAAATTAGCATTGTATTGGTATATATGTATAAAATGATTATTATGAAAAAGCCGTTATTGACCCGCGTAACATAATAATAATAATGCAGATCGTGTAACGGTACACTAAAAATTTTAATATCGCGAACACTTCAAAAAAAAATTTCCCATTTCTCAAGCAATTTTTAACCGTAATAAAAGTTTTAGAACCAGGCTAGAACTTCCCAATGACAATTAAAAGAAGAGACTAGCTTAAGTATTAGTAGTTCTATAATAGGCTGAAAATGCTTCCTTTTTACGCACTTATTTTAAGATTTTTATCCAAAAGAGGCACTACTAAATCTAACATCTATCATGTTAAAACTACTGTCTCTGACTTAAAAGATGAAGATTTTGCCAAAGCTGCTGATGAATGTAAAAACAATATTTCAAGGAATAAAGAAAATTATGATGATAAATCTATTTGATGATGAATACCATTTTGGGTTTTATAATTGTTATGATTTATGTTTTTAAAAGGACTAAAAAGAAAAAATAGATCAATATGTAATAATAAGATTATTTTTCTTCCAAAAGTTTCTGCTTTTTGTTAAGTAATAGCACACCTTTATTCTGCTTTCTTTTTCTAACATTTATTATTTTCCTTTCTTCTTGGTAAATCTCATAGGTAATTTTTTCTTTTCTTAGATAAGTTTCAGTGTCTGAGTATTATTTATTTTGAAAACGTAAGGTGCAATTTTTTCGCCTTGTTCCTTTTTTAAAATACTTCTGATAGTACTATAATTCTTGGGTTCCATAATAGACCTGATGTAATGAGTTCATATTAACTATTTTTGTATAGGGATAGTTTTATATATCACTTAAGATAACAAATGGGATATTATAAAACTGTTAATTATTATCACATTACAAATGATAAATTTTGATCCCTGAAATCCTTGGTAATACCAATGTTCACTTTGTCTGGTTTTGTTGCAGCATGCCCCATATAAGACATGTCGCAAAGATTTACCAGAATCCCTGCTTGAACATGTAACCTACTACTACCCATTCTGTAATTTGACCAATCATTTACCAGTCAACGTAGAAAATGCACCATCTTTCTTGATTAAAAAATTCATTAATTGATTGATTGATGAAGTCTTATGATTGGTCACGTTTATAATATAATGGACCTGAGCAATTACAAAATAATTTTTAAGAGAGGTGATTTTTATATTTGTCAGTAAAATTCGGTATTAAATAGTATTTAATTAAAAATTAAATCAGTATTGAATTTTTCAATCATAACTTGC